CTATATTCCAAAGGGTAAAGGTGTCAAATGGCTAGTTGTTGTCTTGTGGATAGTAGACGCTGAATATGACCTGATCTGAATTAAACTAGATGATTTATCATATATATGATCAACATCAAATTGATAATTTTGTCAAACTCGGTATCAAATTAAAGCTCGGTAAATTTGTTATATATCTCTATATCTCTACTTATATAGATTATAAGCTAGCTAAGCTACGTGAATTTAGGGTCATGGCCAGAGGAATCAAGTAATGCTTTATGCTTGGTGCAATAATACTGTAATTGGTAGGGATTTCACTTTATAACGAACATTAGGGTCATGATGAGTTTGATCCCTATATTGTACTACAATTCTTGGGATTGGGGGTTCCCTTATCCTTCCTCCTTGCTTTTACCTTTCATTTCCTTAGATAAACTATATATTCATTTAATTAAATTTTCTTACATAAAAATTTTATGACTATTCTAATTCAATTAGTACTAAAATTAGGTATGGGTTAATTTTACTTAATTGCTCTTAGCTAGCTAGGCTTGGCTTTGAACAAGTAATCATCGATTCTTGAGTATAATCATCTAAAAGTGATGAATGTTGTGAACTGGAGAGGCATGGATGCTAATCTATTAATTAACCTATACTAAAAGCAAATCCTTCTATGACACTTGTCATTACCTTGTGAAAAATTTTCCCTCCTTTTTCGTTTTTTTTTATTTTTTTTTTTTATTTTTGCAAAATCTTTAAGTAAATTATTTATACCTTATGTATTTAATTTTCCAGTTTGACAATCGTATTCATATATACCCAAATGAAATATTTTTGAATATCTTTTATATACTTTATATTTTGTAATATTATTGTCAAAAATATTTAACAACCGTGCAATGCACGGGATTTTAATCAAGTAATAGCTTATAAACTACGCGCATTATTTACACTTAATAATAAGAGGAAGTATATATGACAAGCTTATAAACTTAATAATTAGTAGGTTACCCCAATAATCTATCATCCATTATTGATTTTAGGATGAAATCCTGACATGCTAGATTTGAATGTGTACTATTGTTTCATTAAAAAAGGAGAATAATAAACAATCTTAGCTTACACAATATATACCTCTTATTGAAAATTATCATGATATTTAAGATTAGATGACCTCATATTGTCTTAGATAACACCATGCATCCTTTGTAATTAAGCACACAAGCAAACAGTTGAAGACACACCATGTGTACATATGGATGTATGTTTTCATACTTCAACTCCAACTTAGACAAGATTAGTACATGTTTGTTTTTTCTAAAATAAAGAAATATATAGTATGGTTGAAATATTGTATATTATTTATGTCATCATATATTACAAATCCTCTAACATTAATTATGTCCTTACCAAGGAGATGAGATAAATTATTAAGATTAGCCCCTCAAATTTGGATAAAGAGGGTTCCATCTATTTTTGACGTGGATGATAACGATGTAAGCATATCTTCATGATGCATGTGTGAGCTAAGGAAGTGTGTGCATGTGCCACCCATAAGATTAATTTTTCAATAAAAGTTACTATAATTAGGGCAAATTATTACTCTAATACTCTATTGTCTCAAGACTTTGTCTTTAGCATAACACTTTATCTATCCGTCTTAATTATTGTCATCTTTTTACTTACATCCAATTTAGTTTTATAGCCAAACTTTTTTTTATGATTTGAAATGATATTATACATTTATAAACAAAATCAGACCATCCATTTATAGAGATAGCAACATCGGTGTCAAAAATTAAAGTGATGATAGAAGATGCATCACCGAGTCAATATTACATAAGCGCTTGTGGTGGCTTTGATTTATAATAAAGGGAGACGTGTACACACCCAGCTAAATTGATTATTTAAAAAATAATTTAGCTTCGTGGTGTCTCGTGGGATCCATGGAAAGTACTTTATCCTCTTTTCATTCCGAGCCTAAGAGCTAGAGTCGAAAATTGTCCAAATTTAAAGGTTATAATTCATGTTTTTGGACAAATTTTAAAATTCTTTCAAAATTGAGACGAATGTAGGAGGTGTCTCCCAGGATCATAAAGATTGATTTAAAACCATAATAGAATAATTATCAATAGTTCTATAAAGTTCCAAGAATGAGTTTGCTTCAATTATATATGGGTATTTTGAAATTATATTTTAGTGGTAGTCAAGAGCTGCAAGAGATGATTCCGATCACTAAAAAGACATCCTAGGGTTTTGCTAAGGTCGCGTGATTCTTTCGTTGGGTTACCAGACCAAACCCTCTCATTACCACTGTTGATGCATGGGTAGATATGCAATCGGGTCAAGTTCAAGTCGAATCAATTCAGGTTAGTGTTGTTTGCGTAAATTTTAGGTTTGGGTCGAGTTGAGTTGTTTTTTATTCTAATGCCTTTATGCTTATTTTAATAAAATAGAAACATTATTGGTTATTGGGTCAAGTCGATTGAGTCCGAGAGAAAAGAGTTTGGATTAGTTTTGTTAGATATTAATAACGGAGTAATAAAAATCAAGTAAAAGCAGTGAAAAGGTACAAAAATTAGATAGAATGACTAATACAATATTGGGTTGGATAGCTAGCTATCAAGCTCATGACCATTTAAGCCTTTTAAGGCCCAAGCCCATAGTCCAGCCATTCAGGTCCTAGCAATCTAGCATTACAAGCTTTGCAAGTCATCACTTTTATTTAATTAAGAGGCAGTTAATGAGGTTTCTACAAAACCCTCAATCCTCAATTCCCATGCACTTCCTTTTTTTTTTTTTTTTTTTTTTTTTTTTTTTTTTTTTTGCACTATTCTCCAAATAACTTCTACCTCTACTATTTTTTATTATTTTTACAAATAACACACTAACTATCCATTTTACTTAATATTAAAAAAAAAAAAAAAAAACCACAAAAAATTACCTATTTTATTATATCATCCAATAACTTTCTTTTTAGAAACCCCCATATTACAAGTTACTGTACATTTTTTCCTAACTTTTCCGCACAAAAATTGAAAATGAATCTTTAAATTATGTGTAATTATTTATTTAAAAAAAATAAAATAACCACCATAAGGTCCACTATTTTCCTTTAAAAAATCACAATTGTTTTTCTTTTATATTTTTAAAAATCAATCAATAACCACCTTTTCATTAATTCAATAATTATCAAAACAAAAAGAGCACGTTTCTATGTGGTTGGTCAATCTGTGTGGCCGATTGACACACACAAATTACTAACCATGTAACCCCTGTCGGAGTAACCTTTGATAGAGTAACCCCTGCTCGACCGAGTAACCCTTGATTGACCGAGTATCCCCTAACCGAGTACCCCTCACTGACCGAGTAACCTCTGACTGGCCGAGTAACCCCTAATCGAGTAATTTCTGACCGATCGAGGAATCCTTAACTGATCGAGTAACCCCTGACTGATTGATTAAGCCCTAAACAAATAACCCGGCCACACAGTGTGGCAAGCCACATATGAAACTTTGTGAAACATAAAATGTATACATCATGTTTTCTATGCACTGGCCGACTAACCACACCATGTGGCTATTTGCAAAAGAACAAAGTAACCTTTATAACATTGACTAATATTTCAAAAAATTGTTTAGTAACTACCTTATTATTAATTTAATAATCATCAACACAAAAAAAAAAAATAAACAACACATTTTCCGTGCGATAAGGCACTAGTGTGGCTGCTTGCAAAAGAACAAAATAACTCTTATAATACTAACGGAATAACCCTTATACACTAACAGGGTCACCTCTATGGCTCTATAACAATGAATGGATAACCCTTATAAAACTGGTAAAGTAACTCCCATAATAACTGGCCACACGGTGTTATAAGAATTAGTTACCATATCAAAATCAACATCCCATATTTAAAATATAATTTTTGTTATTAGATTTTTTGTAATATCATATATATATACCGTACATTTTGCACGGATACACTCTACTAAGCATAAAACGACAACTGCAATCAACTTGTTAACTGAGTTTGCATTCAAGAAAACTTTTCACAACTCAAGTATACTCATCATTTCTATAACCCGGTGTTTTCAATTGCTATAGATTTCACAATGAAGGTAATTAATTTCTTAGTATTTTCATGATTTAGTTTTCATGTGATTTAAGAAAACTGTTTTATTTTCTTTTGTTATCTTTTCCTTTTTTGTTTCATTTTTTATTGATTAATCCATTATACACTCGAGTGTATCTTGCACATAAATACACGTAGGTATATCCACATTAAGACACAATACAACTCATCTTTTGGTGGTATATTGCTCTCAATAAGCAAAATATAGCCAAATTTATACATAGATTAAACCTATTTTGCTTTCCTGCTGCGAGACACTCATCGTTAGGGTTTGAGATGCTACATACAACCAACATTGGTGTTGATATCATTCAAAAACGGATTGTCAAACTTAGCTTGTCCTTTATATTGCACATACGACGTAGATACAAATTCACTTTATGATTGTTGTTGTTACATACAGCTATGCTGAAATCACAAACATAAGTAAAACAACACTATACATCAAAAAAAAAATTAAGAACAAAATGAATAATTCATAATTAAAGAAATTTGCTTTTAAGCTCAACTAGCTACTGCAGTTAACTTCTTCTTGTCTCTTCAATATGAAGTTATGAACTTGTGTGTTGTGCCATCTATGATACTAGCTGTCCAATCGTCTCTTAGGATTAGATAAATTTCTTCCTTGAACTAGATCTCCAAATACGAAGCATCAATGAACACAAACAAGTAGTGAATTATATATAGATGTATGTAAGAACATCAATCCGAAATCCATGGTCTTCTCATCCTAATCTAAAGCTCTTGGCCAAACAGTTATGAATATATACACATATGGTTAATTAGCAACATGTTAATTATATCTAAAATTCGTTTCAGAAGAATTACATAAACATAAGGTAAATTTGATCACCTCGTATCACATCTTGAAACTCATATATATACAGGCGTAAAATTACTAACACCCAGAAAACAGTTCTTTGTATTTGAAATGAGATACATGCTTTCATGCCCAGAAAATTGTGGCAAGTACATTTGAAATATCTCCATTGTCTCCCAAATATACTAAAGCAAGAAAACACAACCAAATAGTTCACCACCCTCTCCCTAAACCCCGGAAAAAAGAGGGGAACAACGATGATCCAGAAGATTAGCTTAAACCAAACAGCCAGTTAACTACCAAAAACAAGAAAAGGAAAATGCTGCTTACAAAAAACCTTCATTTACACTAGGGGTGAATAACCAAATGCTTCAAACGCTCTATAAAGACCATGCATAAACTCTTTAGTCTTCATTACGCAGATTCTTCCACTGCAAAATTTCCCCAAATGTCTTGACGTTAGTACAGTATATCATAACATTTAAGAAGCCTAAGTACCTAACTCCCATTTTCTTCCATTGAATGAGCAATATTTCTAGAATGGTTTGTTGAAATTCACCACAATGTCTTTATTTTGACCATAGATTTTGGAGGTTTAGTTTTTAACAAGACAATAATCAATAACTCAGACAAAAAATATTATCATAACAAGATGAGACGACTAATTGGAGGAAGCTAGGGGGAGGGAAAGTGCATTGTCAAATAGATAACAAGAAAGAAAATTTTCTACAAAATTGACCAGAAGGGAAGGTAAAATTGAATGTTAGTTTACCAGGTTCAGCCGGATGTTCTCCCTTTTTCATGTTCTCATTTTCGATGCACTTGAGGAGATACTTGAAGATTTCGGTATCACAAGGAATGGTAAGAGCACCCCCATGATCAAATCCAAACTCTTCCTCGGCCTTTTCAAGGAGTACTTTGAAAAGATGATGGCTAAGATAATCAGTAGGGATGATGAACCTTCGAAGCTCTGACCCTACATAAACTGCCAGATATCCCTTGGGAACATCGGGAGGTGGTTCAGGGCTGGGACATCCTTCTTCATCTGAATCACATCCAACGGCTGAATTTTTCAACCGCTTAGTTACTTCAGGTGCGATTCCTGCGTGTTGAAGATGATCATTTTGGTCAGGCAGTCTTGAGTTCAGAGTGACATTTTGCCATTTTTGGAGGAGTTCTTTCAGCCTTACAATTTGTCTAATCCCACCCAACTTGCCATTTCCTTGTTCGTCCATGGCCTTATGCTTGTAAATACAGCTTTTGATTTGTTTCTCCCTTGGTCGATATCAGCAGGTACAATTCCTGATGACTAGCATCATCAGATTGTCCACTACATGCAAAACAGAATAATACTTGGTCAAACAACTGAGATAAACAATTTGCATAATGCTTGCCGAGATCTATGCAAAATGTAATGCTAAAGAAATGTTTTAGATCCAAACTAGAATTGTCAATCAGCTAAAGATCAATTCAATTAGGTAAAATGTAACATCTAGGCACTTAATAAAGTGACAGCACACCATTTGCACTGACCTCAGAGGAAATCCCTTATATGAATTGAGCTAGAGAATCATGTCAATTGGGAAACTTGCAGCTTGGCTTATCACTCACTTTCTCTGTCTTTTACAGATTTTAAGAACTTGAACTACGCTGATGACAGGACATTAGGATCTCTTCACTGCAAGAGAGAACAAAATGCCAAAAAAAAAAAAAAAAAAGAAAAAAAAGAGAGAGATTTTGAGGATTAGCTAGAAGAGGAACTAATTTTACAAAGGAAGTTAAATGATTCATTTCTCAGAAATGCCCCACGTTGATAATGCCAGATATTGAGGAATAGATAGGAACATCGAAGTATCACAAAGTTGAAATCCATTGATAAGAACGCACAATTTTGTCATTTTGATAAGTTAAATCAACTTCAAATTGTATTTACGTGCATGAGCTTCAGCTTCAAATCCAATGACTCAATCTCCCAAATATGACTTTTTTTTCACACCCTTTGTTTTTGTTATTATCATAGAAATGAGATAATTAGTATTGTAAGTTACAGAATTTAAAGGAAAAAACCGTGGGATGTAGTTAGTAGATTCAACTTGAATTATATTTCCAAAATATCAATTATTTAGAATTTTACTCTTTTCTTATTGAAGATATTCACGGTCAAAGATTTATATGGAAAACCGTAAAATTCAAGATGTAAAGAACTATTACTCAAGAATGTAAATTTCTAAAGCATCACTCTCACTCCATCACATGCATCGAACTACCATTATATCTCATCATCTCCCATTTTTATTTTATATTCGGTCCTTTCATTCTTAAGCATCAACATTCCTAATGCCTATAACAAAATTTATGTATTGCATCTTCTCTAATATGACGGATTTTTTTAGCATTTGTAGTAAAATAATATTGATAGCATAATCAAACAAACCAAGAGCCCAATAATGGAGTCATGGAATTAGAAGCAACACAATCAAATTAAATCAATCACCTAGAGATATTATTCCAATATTGCACACATGGCAAAGTGATACGATCCATTCCTCATTTTCACATAATAATGGCAAGATATATCATAATGATCATGATCAATAATAACAAATCAAAATATGATCTCCAAAAAAAATTAATTGGAAAAAAAAATAATTCAAATGGTCATGTATAGATCCAGCAAACAATTAACTACACATGATTGTGACAAATTTAATTGGTTTACAGATCTAGCATGCATGTGCTTAACAAATTAACAATCAAATTTATCAAACTAAACCAATTAATTCACTGAAATATTCAGACATTATTATAGCATAAAATTATATGTTTAGCAAAAAAAAAATTAAATATACTGTGTAATTAAGCGAACATTTGATCAAATCTCCTAAATAATTCCAAAATTACAACATAAATGTAAATTATAAAAAAAAAAAAAAAAAAACCCAAAATTCTAAATGTATTGCATGATATCAAATCAAAGTATCAGACCCGTTTCATCGAATTTCCAACGCTAATTTTCTAAATTTCAAATTCAAATTTTTTTTTTTATTACTTTTTTTACACCACAAAACTTATTTATTTAAATACATGTAAACAACCCCAGGTAATAAATTTGAGAAATAATTTCTACATTCAATTGCAAAACTGAAATATTATTTTAAAAAACCCAGAAAACTAAATGCATATTAAATCAAACCCATTTTTATCAAAATTCCGAACAATTGCTACATTACATTACATTACAAATTGTAAAGCAAAATGCAAAACCCAAAATTTAAAATGCAAATCAACTTAAACCCAGCTAATCAAATTTAGTATTAAACTCAAAATTCTATTATAAATTGTAATGGAAAAAAAATATATTACCTGGAAATGTTGTTGGGAGAAGGCATGCATTCAGCTGTGACAGATAATGCAGATTTGGGAGATAAAATTGACAGAAAAGATGAAATAAACCCAAAGAAAAAATGAGAAATTGTAATAATTAGACAAAACAGAGCATTTTCCCAAATTAAGTAATTTGTGGAAAATAATTAAAAGAAGTTAAAGAATTAAAGGTTTGAGGTTGGAAATTATTAATTTGGAGAGAGAAAATCGGGGAGAAGAAGCACTAAGAGATGCGAAACTGTTGGATGTTGGAGAAATTTTTGGAATGATGAAAAAGTTAGTTAGTTGTTATAATTATACTCAATTTCAAGCTAAGGTGCAATAGCTACCCTTATAAATTACGGAGTATAATTTTTCCGTTTCAAACTAAATACGCCATGCGATTTACTCTATTTACTAGTAATTGAAACGTTTTGAGTTTTTGACTTTTTTTTTTTTCCTAACTATTCGCCTCACTTTAAATAATGTTATTATTATATACTCTTTCTATCCCTTTATTTTTGCCATATTTGACTTTTTACTATTTCTAATTCTCTAAGACACAGGTTAAAACATTTATACTTGTATATCCAATTCTATTTCTATATGGGTGATAATTTATAAAAATTTAAAATTAATTAATTATACAATAAGATAAATCAAGTTTACATATTCGATAGATTTTGGTTTCGTCTCCATTTATTCAAGTTTGATTAAATTGCCTAATTTTTGTTTTTGATTTTTTTTTTTTCAATTGACATGTATGGCCTGGTTTTACGTTAAAACCATACCCCTTCTTTTGTTTATTTTTTTTTTCTTACAACTAGAGAACCACAAGGATGAATGATGAGAATTGGTCATCTAAAACTGGGCGTGAAACTTTAACCATTTGAGCTACCGTCACTCTCTAATACTACTAAACTTTATAGGAGTAGTTCCTAAACTACCCCTACTAATATTATTCACTTAATACAATTCACCAGGCCTAGAATACAAAGCCCATGATTACAAGCCCAAATCATAAGCACAGTGGTACGAATTCAATATTTTCAACAAGCATAGAAATCCACAAGTTCATCCAATTAAGACTCATGCAGGATCAGCATTCTCTAACATCCATAACAAGTGTTCAAACATCACCACTTCACATCTTTCCATCGAAATCTCATTATCTTCGGCAGATTTCCCTGTGAGTTGCCGGAGTATGTGATGGTCTACGATGTCGGAAGTTAGGAGATCCATGAGCTCAATGAGGCAGCTTCGGAGTTTGATAGTGATAATGTGTTTTTTTGTGTTGTAATATAAAGGTGTCTAGAACAACTAGTCAACAGAAAAATGAACAAGGGAAGAGAAATAAAACTCAAAGAATTTCGGTGTGGAGTGATAATAATTACTGTCAAAAACAAAATCCGACGCAACCGAGGTGCAAAATTGTATTCGCTATTACGTTTCCTATCTAAGATTACAGCACCACTCCCACACAAAAGCACTTTTGGTGGGAAATTAGAGACTAGTAAACTTATGCCTAAAGAGAGAATTGTGTTTAGCTTAGAGTGTTTGATGATTCTAGTAATCAAATTTTTCAATCATGAAAATATATAATGAAAGATGGGATAATCAAGAGTTGAAAATTTTAAAGAGACAAAGCCTTAATTAGAAATTAAGGTGAGTTCACAGCCTCTAAAACATCCCATTCATATGGGTGTTAAGGGGAAGTTACATAGGAAGAGCAAGAGAAAGAGTCGTTGGTATGCTGACGTTCACCCGCGCCCAATCAGGCGAAAGTGATACGTAATCTTAACTTGCATGCGTGCTCGGTCAGGTGAGCCTCCACCCGGCAGGGCGAATAAATGATGAAAATCAAGTTTGCACTCGCGCCCGGTCGGATGAACTCTACTCGACCGGGCGTATCAAAAAACACTTGTATATACTCGCGCCCAATCGGGCGATAGTTTCTTCATTAGCTTTGTTAGCTTTCCTCATCTTGCCATTTTTCGTTTGGTTTATGAGGATTTTTTTTTTGGCATGCGTGCGTGTGTGTAAAATAAGGTTTAGGAAAATAGATGTTTTTGGCAAGAAAGAAGATGTGATGGTGAGAATTATAAGTGTTTTTGGAGTATTTATAGGACAAGAATTGAGAGTTTAGTTTTGTAATTATTTAATGAAAATATAATTTATTGTCTTGGATCAAGTGATGAATAGAATAATAATACTAGTATAATTTAGATTTAGGTATTTGTTGAGCTCCCATAAAAGTGGTTGGAAATTTGAGATATGCAATTTGGGTTGATATGACTTTGTTAGCTACTATACCATTGCAAAGCAGCTTGAAATTGTGGATTATTGAAAATACTTGGATTAAAAGGGGGAGTATTTGAATTGTATTGAGATTTGAGAATTTGGATTATTTGGATCTATTACTGAAGAAAATTTTAAAAAGAGAGGAAAGAAAGAAAAGATATAAAAATTTGAAGTGCATAAAAATTGGCCAAATCTATACTTATATATTATAAAGTGTTCCTAAAAACGTTTATGTGTCACGTGTGCTACGTCACCACTCAATAATCAATGGCATCATGCCATGTCACGATTCAAAATTTCATGGCAATGTTAACTAAAAAACCCATGGAAATATGTTTGAACCCCTAACCTCATGGAATGAATACCACACGTCTTGCCATCTTAACTAGCAATAATTTATGCTCCATTTATCCACATATATGTATATAAATGTAGAATAAAAAAACACCCAAACTAAAAACAAATGAAACTCATATTACTCTTTCAATTCTTTTCAATATTTTAACATTATATTCTAAATTATTATAAATATTCAAACAATTTATTAAAAAAAAAAAAAAAAAACTCTAAGCAACATCTCCGGGCAACGCTTGGGTCAACGCACTAGTTAGGTTCATTATATAGAGAGGAAAAAAAAAGCTGTTTGTGAAATCAGTTTTTAAAAATATTTTATCGTGTTTTATTAATGATCGTTATAAAATTATTATGCTGGAAAAATCTGAAAATAAAGATGACAAATAATATTTTGCCACTTGATTGTAACAGTGACTGAAGCAACCTGCCTAAATAAATTTGATTGTAAGAGCTTATTTGACTAGTTGATTGTAACAAATCGTTTCTACTCGTAATTGATTACATTACCTGATTATTATTCAATAAATTAGAACGGAATATATAATCTCCTGGTAGTTTTTTTTTTTTGAAAGTTTGATAGTGATTAAGATCTCATATGATTTTGCTAACAAGTGTAACAGATTTTTAGTTTCTACGTGAGCTATTGAATTGAACTATTCACTTAGTAATAACTTTACTAAATACCTGATAACAATATGCTCATCATTTAATTTACTACTCCCCCCGTCACATAACTACATGACTGTATTTTATTTCGGGGTAACCAAAATTATATGCCTATTTCTATTTCAAGAAATTACTTTTTGACAATATTCCACTCTTTTTAATGAGTTGTCATCATTTTTCTTTTATTTTTTTGTACTTTTGACATCATTTCCAACACTTTCTCTCTCCATCTTTTCAATTGTTACCAACTACCTTTTCTTCCTCTCTATCTTTCTTTAACCTACATACATATTTGTACTTTCCAATCACGTGTTTTAAAGAATCTCCAACTTCTTTAATTCTCGTGAAAAATGAAAAATACGCTTCTAGTTATATGAAGGAGAGAGTACTATCATTCAAAATCAACCTAGGAAGTGGTTTAGTGAGTCATAATCCTACACTTCGCGCTCCATACGAGCCCCCAAAAAACCCCGAAACTCAAAACCAGATACAACCCTCTTGTTTTTAAAAACCAGCATCCTCCTTGAGCTCTCAGGCGGGCCACCGGCGATCGAAGTATGCGGCCTTCCTTCTCAATCGCCGGCGAGTCCTTTTGCTGCCAAGCACACTCAATTCACGAGAGATCGTCACTCTCGTAATTTGTGAAAGTGCCTTGCGAATGAAGGGGAATCGTGATCTCGCGTAACTATTAGTGATTTACTTTTGGTAATCCCAACTTAGTTTTGTTATCTAATAATCCCAACTATGCTATGACTTTAGTTGGGATTATTAAAATGTATTTTTTTTTACGAAAAAAAAGAGGGGAAATTAGGAGTTGAACTTTAGTCTCATGGAAGAAATTCCCTTCAATTTCCTCAAGGTAATCCATCTTAGCTACAATGTATAAGCTTTGAATTTATGCATAATTAATTCTTATTAATTGCAATGTTCATTTTTATTATTGTGACTATGGTCCCTCCTTTCACTTTAACTTTTTTGAGATTTTGGAAATGGCATTGAATAAGAGAACCGATAGAAGCAAGATTTTAGTACTTAGAACTAGTATGCGGTCCGGGCATTGCACCGGGTTACCACTTTGATTAAATTGTTTCTTAATGAAATATATCATCATCGATTATGCATGTTATGCATAAATGTTAAACATAATGTGACTAATTAACAAAGAGTATAGAAAGACAATTTTTAACTTTGAGAAATGTTGATTTTATTCCTCTTAATTTTTTTCAAACTGCTTATCTCGTTTTTCCTTTTTAATTGGTGTGTGTCATTTATAGTTATATTTATCTGTATAGATTACATGAATTATTGTTGGCTAAGATGGTAAGAAGTTAGATCTTGTTTCCTCGAGGTCTAGTGTTCGAAACCCCCATCAAATGCTTTTTAATATTAATCTATCAATAATAGTTGGAATGATTTGTTAATTGGTAATGACGTGTCATTAAGTGATGATATGGCACAATGGTAGTTGAGTGACAGATGACATGGCACAATGCTATAAGAGGGGAATGACGTGGGAGATAAACGATTTTAGAAACCCTTTTTAATATATAAGTATAGATATGTTAAGTATAAATTTCACTTCATGAGTCACTAAATTTTGAAATTTTGTCTCATATAATAAATTTAAAACTCTTTTCTTGATTAATCTGTAGTTTTGTTTCATGTGTTTGGCTACTATTTTATTATTCTGCTCTTGTGTCAAACATTTTGTAAAAAAAGTTGTTTAGTTGCAAACACTAGCTTAGCCAAAAAAAAAAAAACTTTACTCATTCATGCAAGTGAGTAATATGATTATATGATAACCAATTGTACTTTAAAAGCCATACAACCAGATTTACGATAATAGTTGTCAGTTTTAGGTACTCCTTACTTAAAACTTCAAGTCATTGGTATAGAGAAAAAAAATTGGTCAAAATTAAAGTGCATAATAAATGGTAAAAATTAGGTGCATTTTATAGAGAAAAAAAAATAAATAAAGCCATTGGTGAAATATGTTTTTAAAAATATTTTATCGTTTTTTTATTAATGATCGTTATAAAATTATTGTGATTCAAAAATCTGAAAATAAAGATGACAAATAAGACTTTGCCATTTGTAAGGAAAGACACAAACAATTTGCAAACTAGCCGTTGGAAACTTCAAGCCATTTAACAAGTATGTTAAAACAAAATCACCGATACCCATCACCTTAAACAGAACAAAAATTCAATGAATAACATTCCCACTTGTATTAGTTTATGGAAAAATTGCCGGGAATAATCCCACTTTTGGAGCGTTTGCTAAAAATAATCCCACCTTTGAGATATTTCTAAATAATCCTACCTTCGGGATATTTCTAAATAATCCCACCTTTATACCTAATATGCTCCTAATGGTCCCAACTGGTCATGTAACTTGTTATAACAAGTTACCAAACACGTGCCGGCCTGTGATTGGTAACAAAAAATAAAATTTTTTTTGTTTAAAAGTTTTAATTTTTTTAAGAAAAAAAATGAAAAAAAATTAATTGAATAATTGGAAAAACCACCCACCAGCCCCAGCCACCCTTCCAGCTACCAGTTCTCACTAGCATTGCTGCCGGAATCCCCTGCCCCACAACGCCGACTGCTCAGACCGACTCCCCCAGCGCCGACGCTGTAATACCTCATATTTTTATACGTATACTAATTTAAAACATTATTTTATAAAGTATTTAAATAATTCGAAATGAATTATTTATGGTATTTTAATAATATAAAGGTTTATTTTAGTTAAAATTCCATTTTTATTTATTTAATTGCTTTGGAAATATTTTATTTTATTATTTAGAAAACTTT